TAAACAGAGCAGGGATGAGAGTTTTGTTTTACCTAGACGATCTGTTGCTGCTGTCACGCTCCAGATGGGAAGCAGTGGCGCAGGCTCAGGTGTTGACATCACACCTGCTAAATCTGGGCTTCGCCATAAATTTGAAAAAAAGCTCGATTCTCCCGGCCCAGACGATTGTTTATCTGGGAGTGGAGCTAAACTCGACCACCATGAGAGCTCGTTTATCACAGACGAGAATCAACACTCTAAGAGTCCAGCTCCGCCACGTAAGACCGGGCAGAGTAGTTGAAAGGGTTAATGTCTCGTAACACCTTTATAAAAAAATTTACACAAGACAAAGTGTAAGTTTTCAGAACGGCCTTCTGCAGAAGTGGGAGTTCAGCTCGACCAAGCGTCAGAGATGAAGTTCAACTTCCCCTTCCGTGACGTTCGTATTTATTGAGTGAAGTGGGTGTGGGAACAAAACAGCGAACTCAGCTTCTCTGACACAGCAGAGACACAAATATTAGACAAATATGATAAAGAAATACACAACAGAGACAGATTCGATGGATGTACAAGGTCAGAACTAAACAGCATCTGTTGTTTTGTAGATATCCAGGATCTGGTCTTAGCACACACATATAAGCTACAAACAGGAACTCTGGGTGTTTGGTAATTCAGCACGTAGGGAAATTGAAGTGGACTTGAGTTCACACGACGTGTCAGTCTTCACAGATGCGTCGTTGTCAGGTTGGGGGGGCATGCCTATCTCGATCTGTAGGGGGGCTGTGGCCTTCTCACACAACAGCTCATATAAACGTTCTGGAATGTCGCACGGTTCTGAATGTGATTCAACACTTTGCTCCTGTGCTGCAGAATCAACACGTTTTGATTCACACAGACAACAAGGTGACTGCTGCATACATAAACCGGCAGGGGTTTGTGCGCTCAGCCCAAATGTTACGCATTGCGAGAAAACTACTGTGTTGGGCACACCAAAATCTGCTCTCTATTAGAGCAGTGTATATCCCCGGTGTTCTGAACAAAGGGGCAGATGTGATGTCCAGGGGCGGTCCACGTCACGGGGACTGGACCCTCCACCCCGATCTGATGGCTCAGACGTGGCAGAAATTTGGCAAAGCGGCTGTGGACCTGTTTGTGACACGAGAAAACACTCAGTGTCAACTATGGTTTTCACTGAGCCCGCAAGACGAACCACCGCTGGGGGTGGACACGTTTGCTCACAGCCCATAGCCCAAAACGCTTCTTTATGCGTTCCCCCCACCTCCTCTGATATTACGGTTTCTGAACAGAGTTCAGGAGGAGGGATTGACAGCTCTCCTGGTGGCTCCCGAGTGCGTGAACGCACCATGGTTCCCAGTTCTATGAAGCCTGTTATCGGGGCGCCCGTGGAAACTGCCGTGGAGGGAGGACGCTCTCCTCCAGGCGGGAGGAGTGATCAGGAGTTATCCAGAAATAGGCTAGCACCTGTGGGTCTGGCCGCTGAGCAGATCCGCTTAGAGAGGATGGGTCTCCTGCAAGATGTAGTGCGCACAATCCAGGATTCACATAGTGCATCCACCACAGCACTATACACATCAAAGTGGACAGCTTTTCATCGCTGGTGTACAGAGAAAGGTGTAGAGGCCACCTCATGTCCACTAGGCGACGTGCTGTCCTTTCTGCAGCAGCTGATGGACAGAAATTTGGCGTTCACACGATTAAAACGTATGCTGCAGCCCTCTCTTCTTGTCACGAAGGTTTCGGGGACAGAACAGCTTTTAATCATTCGCTGATGAAGCGTTTTTTAAAAGGTGTACAGAGACGCAGGCCTGTTTCACGCCCACTTGCTCCACAGCGAGATTTAACGCTGGTCCTGCGAGCCCTGATCAAAGCTCCATTTGAGCCACTGAATCAGGTTCCAATTAAATTCTTGTCTCTTAAAACAGCCCTGCTGCTGGCTTTAACATCCGCTAAGAGGGTGAGTGATTTATCTGCCCTCTCTGTCGCTCCGTCATGTCTCAGAATTCAGGCTGACGGCAGCTCAGCTGATCTAAGGGTGCATTCACACTAGCCCTGTTTAGTCCGCTTTAATCGAACTCTAGCTCGTTTTCCTAGAAAGTCCGGCTCGTTTAGGGAGGTGTGAACGCACCATCGAACTCTGTCACGGAACAAAAAGGCGAACTCTGGCCAGGGATAAAACCTAGGTCTCGGTCCGGTAGAAACGAACTCCAGCGTGGTTCGAGTGCATTATGAATGTAAACAGACAGGACCCCGCTCCGCAGGGTAAACAAACACGCATTGCTCTTACCTTATATGGAGCCGTCAGCTGCCTTGTGTGAAAAACAATATTCTCTATGGTCTTCTGTCTCATCTTCTGCTCATGCTGAGTCCATTTTTGAAAAATGACAAAATATAACTCCTAAAACTGCTAAAACTTGATGCCACTTCGTTTTTATTTTTATTTACAGAAGAAGAAGAAGACATGTCTTCAGAGGTTTTTGTGTCGTTTCTTTCAGTAGTTCTTGGTGCAGCGCCCCCTCAGGCGAGCGGGGCAATAGGTTGGTTCAACAGGTTGAATCGACTGCACAGTGCAGTGTGAATGCAAACTCACCAGCTCAATTGTAAACAAAAGCTCATGAATATTGGTCCCGAACCGAACCGAGTCTACCGGACTATCTAGTGTGAAAACGACCTAAGACTGAATCCAGCCTTTATGCCTAAAAACATCACGAGCTCTTTTAAATCAAGAGCGATATCGTTGGAGGGGTTTTTCCCTCCCCCCCACAAATCAGAAGAAGAAGCATCTTTCCATCTTCTCTGTCCTGTGCGGGCATTGACGTGTTACATAGTGCACACAGCTGCAATGCGTCAAACTGAACATTTGTTTGTGCATTATAGAGATGCATCTGCAGGTCGCCCGTTATCCACCCAGCGCCTGTCACACTGGCTGGGTGAGGCCATTTCTGAAGCCTACAGAGCATCTGATTTAGAGCCTCCTGTCAACCTCAGGGCGCACTCGACCAGAGGTATCGCATCTTCGACTGCTTTGCATAATGGTATGACAATGCAGGATATTAGCACTACGGCCTCGTGGTCAACACCATGCTCATTTATTTGCTTTTATCTACGTTATGTGACGCTCGTTTCATGACACATTCTGTCCTTAATGTTTTAACAGTTTGAATATTGTTGTTTCATGGAACCCTGTTTAAACTCACATCTGACTGCATGCATTACAGTGTGAGATGTGTTATCAGTCACAAGTTGTGACTGTTATTTTGGTTCTTTTGTCACTAATCAGTTCATGACTATTGTTACCAATCAGTTCATTTGATTAATAATCAGTTCACTTGTTATTATTAATCTGTTAATTTTGTTCAGCCGTGAATCGGTTGGTTCATGTCCCTTTTTTCAGCATCTTCCTTTCCCCGTTGAAAGTTTCCGGGGCGTTCATGCACTCAGAATGCATAACTACACAGCATGCGTCTGTGCATGGTACGCATAATTACGCAACGCGTAATTACGCACATGGAGAGCTGAGTGACAAGACATTTTTTAGGCAAGCTGCCGCTTCGTATGGTGTTCGAATGGACCCAGTGAGGCGAGGACCACATCTACTTCGCCCTTAACCCACTAAGCGACAGCTCTTAAAGGGTGAAGCCTATATGAAATAGAACATTGGTTATGTAACCCCAGATTCTATGAGTATAGGCGTAGCCCTTTAAGCGTCGGGCCTCACTGGCTCCTAAATGGCTGAAGAAAAAGCTATTTGGGAGCCATTACCCGCTCTTAACGTAATTTATACGGACCAGGTGGGGCCCACACAGCAGGTGGGCGTGGACTAAACTTTTCAGTGCGATGCTTTGCATGATGGTATAAAACCCACTAAGCGACAGCTCTTAAAGGTCTACGCCTATACTCATAGAATCTGGGGTTACAGTACGTAACCAACGTTTACCATACTTACCGCTGTACACGTCACTTTGCTTTATAAGTCGCGTCGCCTTATAAGTTCCATTTATTATGCGTCACCGCAGACAACCCGAAAACGTGGGCCTGTGTTGTGCCAAAATTCGATTGGCTGCCAGATGGCGACCGTGGGAGCGTGCACAGGAGGACTTTAACAAGAATTTAAAAAGATTAACACTTAAAAACAATTGTTTGTTTGCTCAAAATTATAAGTTGTGTCTCAGTTTAAGTTTTCCTTAATAAATGCACTTTAACGGTCAAATCAACTGCATTTCAAAAGTCAATTCGCAGAAGCGTGCAGAGGGACGACTCGTTGTGCATTTCTTCGAAATTTAACAAGATAAGCACCTAAAAACAATTATTTGTTTGCTGACATTATAGCAAAGGTGTATCTCAGTTGAACTTTTCCTTGAAAAATGCACTTTAATGGCCAAACCAGCTTAATTTCTCCTGGGTGGTGCAGCAAAATTTAGCAAATTTGACGTTTGCTCCAGGAGTTCTGGAGCGAGACAAAGGTGGCTCAATATGGCAAGCCAAGTGTCTCATTAATAGCCACTTTTCCCTAATAATGAGACACTTGGCTTGCCATACTAGTCGAGCGCCTTCTAGTGACTGAAAATTATAGTGTTCAATATTTTACATGTCAGAATGAAATCATCAGATCGCAGCCAAAAATTGGGTTATAAATATGGGAAAAACATAAATAAGTTTCTTCACTGTATAAGTTGCAGGCATGCTGATTTATGCAAAAAACTGTGACTTATACAGTGAAAATGTTGGTAGTTGAATAGCCCTGATTTAGCTAATGTTCTGCTTTTGTGAATTTAAGAACTTTTTCACCAAGTTTCAGCAGTCATTTAGCACAACGCATTTTTACAGAAAAAAAGAAAAACACTTCTCTTGTTATCATGTATTTATTTATATATTTATTGCTATAACAAGCTGAAGTATTTGAAGAACAAACGTTTTTATTACTTGAAGTAAAATGTGATGTCAAAACAGTTTACAGATTTATGATTATCACATTCCTATCACTCTGTTTTCTGTGTGTGCAGATTCTGGGCTGGACTATTATCATTGTTGCCACTGCTGTAGGCCTTCTGGGGACCTGCTACAAGAACTGTCGCTCCCAAGTCAGCTACCTGCAGCTCACATTTTGGAAGCGTTACATGGAGAAGGAGAAAGAGTGTTTTGATACATTTGCTGTAGAATATGCCACCAAACTGGCTGAGAGGAACCTGCGAAGCTTCTTTGACAACAAAGAGCCTCTTCCTATGCCTTTCCCTAACCACAAGGCATGGGAGGAGATCTCTGCGTATTACACGTTTACCAAAAGCGAACAGTGCTACAGCATCTTACAGCGTTACGTGGAAAAGACAGACAGGGACTTTACTCCAGAGAAAACTCCTGTCATGGATCCAGAACATGGAGCAGAAATGAGCTGAACAACATTTGGTTTAAAAAACCCAGCAACAACAACACTTTACTGTTTATGAAAATCTTTCAGGTTTGACTCAGAAAAAAAGCTCCACTTATTCACAAACTGTGGTAAATTAATATTTTTTTTAATTACAGGAAGACCTAACACTCTGTGAAGGAATGCATGTTGCCACATCCTTTCTTATGATCATCTTGTGATGAGAAATGACAGAGTTGTAGCCATTTTGGTCAAAGCTTGAAATCAACGTTGCACACAATTTTACTTGAGATTGCAATGTCTCACATGATTAGTTAGCACTTAGATTATGTGTTGAGAATGACTGTCAGCTACTACCACACCAACTTCTTATTCATTATTTATAAAATTCACTGAATTGGCTAAGACTGTTTAGCTGTGATGATGATGTTGAATTAACTCCAAAATGTAATTAGCTATGGATATCAAGCACGTTATTTTATGAAAGTTTAATTTAAATCCATTCAATGGGTCATTTACCTGGGCTTGGAACAGACACAAGAGGGTCCTATCTTTACAAGGACGTTACATTGACCTACGTTCATTTTCCATTGATTTCTATAATCTAACCCTGACCTTACTACTACTTCAGCTGCCCTGCCCCTTGATATAGGAATGATTATTTTGATGCTTTTATGTCAATTAATACTTA